AACTAAGATAAACTTGTTGATAATTAAAAATATCTTACAATATCATTTATTTTTTTCATGATGAGAAAGTCCTTATCAAACTTGATATAATAAAATTACAGATTACAGGAACAACAGTCTGACGAAACTTACAATTAAATTAATAATATTCTTACATCAGTTGTTATAATCCTTCTCAAATATTTCTATTTGAAAAATGGCTATTACTATGTATTGCATTCAAACTCATTAATAAAGTAGTCATAAATCAAGTATATAACTAGTAAATACTAAATAAATTTTCTACTGGACACCTACATATTTCTAAACGCCTAGACATAGACTACATTCGAATCAAATATCTAATTATTTGAGGAACCTGAAAAGGAAATTAGATTAGTGTCGGTCTTAGAGACCTGAGAAAATGACCGTAGAGCCCAAGGGACAACTGCTTGAGGCCGGTCACGCACGGCCTTTTTATGAGGGTTTTTTTGAGTATTAGCTCCGCTCTTAAAAGCCCTTGTTGGACACCCTTACTGCCGGAGACAGAAATCCGTGAGGTAAGGTGAGGTGTGAAATTTTTAGGATCGACCTCTTCTAACCCCTTCATTTTTTGTGAGATGGCAGCATCGCTGCAGATGCTGGTTTTCCGAAGCAAACACCTTACTGCTGCCACACCTCTCTGCGGTCAACAGTACGACTTCGCCCTCAGACATTGAATAGCTGCATTTAGTCTCATCGTTCTCCAATTGACCTGCCTGGCATGGTAGCTCGGTTGGGTCATCATGATAGGCAAGCCCGATCACAACGTCAAGGTAGCAGCTTCGGTCGGGTATCTAATTATTTACTAGTGAATTGCAGTTGCAAAACTTTTGGTAGAGAATGCAGACGTCGAAAAATTTACATCAGTTGATCTGCTCCTGATTGCATACACTAATGAACAATTCATCTTTCGTGTACAATAATGAGACAAAAACAAAAGCATTTATGCGATAGTTAAAATAAAATGCAATTGGTCACCGAATGTAAGCAAACAGGCAGTTAGCGTACTGACTATTTTAGTGTGATTTCCCTTTTCGTTATTAATATCCACTCTGGACTTACTGAGAGAGATTGCTTTCAACTGTGTGTGATAAAGTATTGTCTGGCGTTACTACATTTCTCTATTTTGATCGCTAATCGGTATCTGATGTAATATGATTTGGTTTCTGTACAGTGTATCTTTCGAGTATACACTCCAATTTGGCGGTATTATAAACTAGGTCAATTGGTCACCAGTGTTATTACCATAGTATAGGAATATCTTGTACGAGAAAGAGAAATATTTCAATACCCCCGTTATATCAATATTACTCAAACCAATATCTCAAGAAACTAATGGTATTTTTTTGAGTTGTTGCAGTTGTTAGTAAAAAAGTCTCCTGACACTTAATAGGACCTTTGTTCCTCCAGTGTACAGAAAATCTTACTCCTCTTATCTTTATATCAATATTTTTTGTTAGTTTCACGTTAAGTCGATATGTTTAAACCTTTGAGTAAGATTTAAATTGTTGAAATTATTTGTTCTGAAAATAATTCTAAATTGTCAAAAATTTCTGAACCGAGAATGATTTTTTTTTTGATTCCTTTTAAAAGATGAATTTTTATAAATTAAGTCTATGTCTGATGTATATATCCAGCATTAGTTATTACAATGTGTCGCGAATTTAATAGGTACTTTAAAATCACGATCGAAAATGCCAAGACTTTATCAGAACTAAAGCAAAACTTTCCAGTTGAGTTTAAAAAGTATTGTTTTGTAAGAATTATCTAAAATGTTTGTAGTTACCGCTAGGTTTTAAGTTTTTAAAAAAATTAATATTATTTGTTTCAGTAAATGGTTGTTATTCTTTCTGAATTAGGGTTTTCCGGGGTTTCAAGTAATCAGGAATAATGTTTCATGAGCTCAAACCGTTTGCTTCAGCGGTGCAAGGTGACAAACGATCGAAGGAAGAGTTAGCCAAAGAGATAATAGAGTTATTAGGAGGTGTAGAAAAGATTTGATTGTGACCAAACTGGTCTCATGTGCTTTTATGGGTATTAGGGTGGATGTTACTTCCCGGCTGCTGACACCGTTAAAGGGTTCTGGTTGTCAGAAGAGGTATCGGCCTCATGACTTCCGAAGGAACTCGGCTTTCATCATGAGACGTTCATAACTCTTCTAAATGAAGACCTAACTCTCAGAGCAGAGTTGGCATTTTCCAGCGAGTTAGTTTTTGCAGGATGGGGTCGCCAACCCCAATCCTCCTCCTTTATCCGGTCTTGGAACCGGCAGTAGCCCCGGAGGATCTACAGGGGGAGTTGTAGATAAGTTTTAACTTCGACTTGCAGAGAAGTATTGTATTTTATGGTTTATTTTTCGAATCCGTTCTAATTCTTGTCATAATTTTCATTTTTAGAGTGTGATTCTGTTTGTACAGACAATGGATTAGCATGTCATCTAGATGATCCACAGATATGTTGTGATTTAGAATGTTCTGGTGGTTGCTCTGGTCCATCACCAAACGAATGCTTAAGCTGTAAACATGTGAAATTAAATGAACTTTGTTTAAGTCATTGTCCTTCATCATATTATTTAGTAAGTTAGCATTGAACATTATTACCCAATAGTTTTGTCATAGAAAAACTAAATAAGCGTAACTCATTTACCGATTACAGTTGTATTCCTGGCTTTAAGTCACATTGTATTAGGGTGGGGGCAAACTGAAAAGGGGGAAACAGGCTCAAACATGTGATATGAATCTAACGTCGGTTATTATACTAAACGAGTTTACAACCTCATTGTATTATCGTTATTAATGCTGATTGGACTTTGTTAAGGCATCTATTTTTCTAAGAATGGAACGGAAACTAACCAACGGTTTTTGCATTTTACAAATTCCTTAAGTATCCACTGTTCACATAAATTTAGTGTTGTCGCCTAATCTACGGTTTTATTGACTTCCATTGAACATTTTCATTATTCCTGTTTCAATTCGGTTTATCGTCCTACTTTTGAATTTGCTTCCAAAACGTTTCTTGAGTTTTAATGTCAACTTACTTACTTACGCCTGTTACCCCCAATGGAGCATAGGCCGCCCACCAGTTTTCTCCAACCAACTCTGTCCTGGGTTTTAATGTCAACCTAGTTCCTTATCTTATAATATAGACCTTAGTAATTGTCACCTATTTCCTCGTTACTCTAGACTTTGAAAGTTTTCTAAACCCACCAAACGTTTTGGTTTCGCTGTCTACAAATAAACTAAACCAAATATTCTGTGATTTTCATTACCTTAAAGATTCGTAATAGCTTTTCATCTTATGTCATGATAATTTAAGTGGGTAACATGTATCTTACTCATTCTCACTAGCTACCTGGAATTATTAGCTTAGGAATTGATGTCAAAGCAAAATTTTACTAATCCATAAGTTATTCCATAACTAATTGTAGTTACGGCATAACTAACCAATCAAATTGTGGTTTAAACGCCCATCACGTGCTGTTCTGATCTGACGTGTCTGTAAACTTTCTTTGTCGTAAATGACCTACTAATTGAAGGACATTATTATCTTATTATATTGATGTGACTCATAACTTTACTCATTTCCATAAGACACGCTATATTGGTCGGTATGTTTGCTCGTCTTACTCGATAATTGTAATTTCCTTATTTATTGTACTAATCTAATTGTTTTTATGTTTAGAAACAGATAAAGTTTACAGCAAAAGTTGATCTTCTTCTGACTATAGCTTTCCCATAGATTGTGCTCGCCAATATTACGTTTACCGTTCTAGAACTACATCTGTAGGACAAATTAAATCCTAGTTATATCAAGAAATCTAGGTTTCTTGACTGAGCCTCTCCCATGATGGCTGCAATCTTCAACTGGAAAAGTCAAATGACATAAGACAAAATGAGATATTGTGACATTTATTCCGCATTTTTATTTGATTGATTTGAACATCATTTATAACTTACAGTTCTTCAATCCGCTGTCTTTTTCAAACTACATTTTTCATATTTTGTACATTGTTCTAGTTAAATAATCTCTATTGTATAACTCGAGAAGAATGCATTAATCGTCAAGAGATTGTTGAAGGTGTAAATGGTAAATATTTGGCAAACTATTCAACTTTTAATTCCACATGTGTACCAACATGTCCCTTGGGATATGTGCGTTCAGTATCTGGTGAATGTCAGTTTTGTCCTGAGTCAAAATGTATTAAACGAGGCAGGTTTATTTAAATTGATTGTTGCATTTTTTTATATAAAAAATCAGTCCTATTTCCTGTTGTATAAATGACTGTGATTTAATTATGAATATGGCTTGAAATGGTTCATAGTGATACACTTACAGCTAGTTTTCACATTCAACATTAGTTACCTCTAAATTTCAGGTACACTTTGATGACAAGCATAAACTAGCATGTGATTAGTATCCAAGGCCAAACTGAAACGTAACACCCGTCCAGGACAGACAGACAGACAGATAAAACGCAGAACTTCGTACGTAAGTACATCAGTTCAGGTTACCATCCCACATCAGCACAGAGACGCAACTGTCAGTTCAAAGAGTGATACCGCTAGTATAGGTATTAGCATTAATGGAGAAGATTAGAGAACGAAGATATGATTCGAGAAGTATAATTCAGTAAGATAAATTTAGGAGGAGAAAGATAGAGATTATGAGGAATTCAGAAGGTTAGAATCAGAGAGAACACAACGAGTGGATGCACCTACGCCCTTGCAAACAATTTTGAGCCATGTCATTCAATGTCTCTAACCATCGGTGACTTTGGTCTCACGGACTCCAACCAGGTAGCCTACATCTACCAACATGACTCAATCCACTTGTCAGTGACTTTATGAATTTGTGCCATGTTTTGGTTTGGCTGCCCCTAGCATTCTTCCAACCTACTCTTACACTGCGAAACATAGCTCGTCGCGGCAGTCTGTGGTTAGGCATTCGTAACACATGTCACAACCACCTCAACCGATGAAGTTTCAATGCTTCATCTATTGATCTGCCATCCTTACCTAGAACTCGTTTCCTGACGACAGCATTGCTTATACAGTTGTCCCAGGATACACAAGCAATGCTTTGGAGACACGGACGATCGAAGACTAGTAACATACGAAAGTCCTCTACTCTTAACGGCCATGTTTCGCTTCCGTACAGTAGGACGGAGCGAACTGCTGCACAGTACACTCATCCTTTGGTTAGCAAACGGATATCTCGCCTGCGCCATAGGCGACACGGGTTGGCAAAAGCCAATCGAGCCTTCTGTATCCGAGCTGAGATTTCGTCAGTCACCAGGCCATCTACACGTCCGACTACTTCACTCCCTATCACTAGATCAAGTACCGATGCAACCCAATCTTGAAGCAACATTTTGCATTTCGAGGGTGAGAACCGCATCCCGAACATGCTTACATTGTTGCTCAGGGTTATTAATAATTGGACTGAGCCATGTTAGTAGATGTATACTTCGTGGTTGGGTTCCACTCAGTCATCATAGCTAATGATTAGAGTCTTTGAATGAAGCGACTCAAAATCTTCCAAAGGAATGTAGCTGTATCCTTTCTTTATCTTCTCCTAAATTCAAAGCTTCTGCATTTAGCATATTGTTTTTATTTCACTAATTTATTTCTTCTTAATCTTTTCAATTATCAATAATACTTTTACTACATCTACTATTCTTAGATTTGGTTTGACAATTTCATCTCACTATACTAATGAGTTATAGCAACTTTAACCAATATCCATACGTACCAGGTTTTACATTTCAGCTGACTGATCAGTTACCTCCAAGCATTTAATATTCTCACTGACCGTCGCTATCCAAATCTTGGGTATCTAATCACTATATAGTACTTATGTTTTTATCGTTTAATTATTTTTTAGCCTACTTTTTATTCTACTATATTCCTTCCTTGTTGGGGGCGGCCAGACCAAAACATGGCAGAAATCCATGAAGTCACTGACTAATGGACTGAGTCATGTTGGTAGATGTAGACTACCTGGTTGGGGTCTGCGAGACGAAAGTCACCAATGGTTAGAGACCTTGAACGACATGGCTCAAAATCGTTTGCAGTGGCGCAAGTGCATCCATTCTTTGAGCTCTCTCAAATCCTAATCTTCTGGATTCGTCACCACCTCTACCTTTGTATTCTAACCTTATGTCACTGAATTATACTTTCTTGAATAATATCTTCGAACCCTAGTCTTCTTTATTACCATTAATACCTCTACTATCTTTATCACTATGGGATTTGGTTTGACATTTGCGTCTCTGTGCTAATGTGGTATGGCAACCTGAACTTATGTACATACGTACGAAGTTCTACGTTGCAACTGACTGACTGACCTTCCTTGTTAATCTCCTTTCTATTTTATTGAAAAAATAAAATGTAATCGTCATGCAATCTATCACGAATGTGTATCGATTTTGATTACCGCATTACTGATCCCAATTGTATAATCACCTGTTAACTCATATTTTACAAATTTCTTGCATCTGCATGTGTTCAAGTAAAATACATTGAATGGTTAGCTTCAAATTTTAAAGATTTTGTTTAAATATCTTAACTCTGTTCATTACTAATAGTCTACAAAAAATCTATTCTTCCTGTTCTAATCTTTCATTAATAACTATTGTTAAAATTGGCCAGATTGTGAAAATTTTTCACATTACATCTTGTTGCACATTGTTTTAAAGATTTCGAAATAAAATTATACATATTTTTTAATTTTTTCAAAAATTTAACAGTGTGTGTCGGGGATGTTAGATCCCCAGAACTCACTTGATAAATGTCCTTATTTTGGATTTTATGTTTATAAGCATGGGCTGATCAGTTTACCTCGATATTACATTATTTTAGTACGCTATTTTTGTGGCTCTCCCAATTACGTTTCTATGATGTATAAATAAACTAGATTTGTGTGCTTGAAAACCTCATATTTCCTGGTTGCTTGTAGATTACACTCTCTACGCCATATCGAGCCTTCTTCGTTTGCTTACAGTGGCCTTGGGACGTTTGGATTAGAGTAGCCTATCGTGTGACTGGATCATTTGTCTTTGCTCTCGTTTACCGACTAAGGTGAACTCGTATTAGTTTCAAACGTATCAACTGACAAACATAATATTTGCCTACTTTAAAAGTCGTCAGATAATAAATATTATGCCTCCATTTTACTAGCGGCTTTATGTAATTAACACTCTTTTGAAAAACATAACAATTATAATTAAGCTTCATATTCATTTGAAGGTGTTTATCGTTTCCTACTGTTTACTGTTTCCTACAAACGTCCATCACTACTATATCCGAATACATTTAGTTAAACTGACTACTTTAATCCAATTATAAGTAGTCCGTTTGTTATCGCTAATATAATTGCTTTGAATTGATAATGAACAAATGAAATTCAAAGCGGTCTTGTTCCATTTATTAATATCTGCATATGATTCTCTAATTTGTTAGTGATAAATAAATCAAGAACTGAGAAATTCAAATTGTTAATTTGACCTTGTTTTAAAACAAATTAAGTCTTTATTTCTTGCACTTGTTTCTTTAAAAAAAAACATAAGTTGCATTTTGTATATATTAATGTAGATATATGATACATACATATGTAAATGTACACGTTGTAAACATCATTACTTCAACTAGCACTTGATACCAAACCATATAAATCAATAATATTGCTATTATTAGTAATAATACTAATAATAGCATTTTAAATTAACTGTAATCTAGATAATAGAAATGCGTGAAATGATTTGCTCAGTTACAATGTATATGATATTTTCAGAAAGTCATCAATCCAATTACATGAAGTTTTCTAAAAATTGACTTCCCTTTCTGTTTTTTTACTTGAACAATGATGATATCTAGCTTGTGGAGATATAAATGTATATAAAGTATCAGATCTTCAACAAGTACAAGGTTGTGTAACAGCTCAATCAATCCTTATTCGTATTCGTGATTGTGAAGGTTAGTGATGTTTGTGTAGTTTTTCTCACTCTTTTCAATCTATTGGATTGTATTAAATTTGTACAGTGTATTTATGATCAATCAATGCGTTGTCATATCATAAGATGTGCATTCTATCAAAAAAAAAGATAGTCGCTTATAGCCTTGTTTAGAATTGGAGATTTTATTTTCTTTACTACCAGGCAGTCTTGAGAAATGTATCAGTTTTTTTTCAGTCTATCAAAAATAGAGTAAAAATCAGCGTAAATATTCAACGACCTAGATCGTTACATTTCACATGAATACAAGTTGCATTTAACGATAAGAAAATCAAGGAAGTCAGAAATGAACATAGTGTAAATGAGATATTAAACAATTAAATATATCCCAAATGTGCTGGCACCGTCGAAATGAGAAAGTTTGCTTTCCCAAAATATGCTCTTATAAGGCCACACATATATAGCCACTGCTACAGGAAGGTCCTAATCACTGCCTTCTCACGGGGGTGGTGTTGTTTACGAAGTTGGGAGGATGAAAAGCGAATGTTCGATTCTGAAACTCGATCGGTCGGCACGGGGAATCTGGCTAGGGTAGTTGAAAAACCCTGATTCTAAACTAATACCTATGGTGCAGATAGACTCCAGAGGGAACAAACCGCGTATGGATCTATTATTGGTCACCAGCTACCGTAGGACCACATCTCCTGACGTTTCTCCATTACCTTGTGCACTAGACCTGTAGGTCAAAGGCTCAGGGAATGATCCCTCTTAGAAAAACACCTGATTCGACTTAGGCACCCGGATAGTATTCCAGCACAGGCACAAATTCATTGATTTATGTGGTCCGTATATTATTTGATTATGCATTTGTACAAATATTTACGTTTCTAAATAAATAAAATATGTCTTTCCAGAAGAGGAAATGATATCGATAGAAAAACGTTTCAGAATAATGCCCTCCTCAAAATACACGAAAAGATGAAGAATGTTATGTATCAAGGAGGCTGGGTTAAGAAGAACTCGACTTTCAGAACTATTTTGTTTAGAAATCACTGTTTGTACTTTTTGAAGACTCATTATTTAATACTTGAATTAGTGTATTTTTATGTTTCTCAAAATGTTGACTTTCGTCTTATGCATAAGCTATCATATATGTATATCCATTACGATTTCTAATGTATAATATTTTAAGTTTTTGAGTCACGGATGAACAGAGTACAGTCTAGAAGATATTTGCTTTCTAATGCTTTCTAATTGGATGCTCGGTTAATGAGAGCTTGTTAGCCAAGTGTTCAAGTCTCGGTCATTCATTCATACTGATTAAGCGACTGGTTAGAAGATCAGTGGCCCTACAGACCGACTACAAGTAAAGAAGATAGTAAGCTAACTCAGTAATCGACTACGTCTATAACTGGTAACTCAGTGTGGTAGGAACAAAAGTAGAGAAATCTCTCGTTGTTTCGTTTTTAAAATACAACAGAGTGAATACATATGCTCATGACTATGGTTTTCCAGGCCCTAGTTAGTTGTTTTTATACGTTGAATCATTTTCTATGTGTATGAAAGAACAATAAATTTGTTCAACAGTTAGTATTTTTCATCTAGGTAATTCTTACGAACAATTTTAGCTCACTCATGATTTTGTTCCATGATTAGTTATTTCTAAAGATGGTCCAAACATTTTTCAAATATTTAACATTGATTTTTG